ACCAAAAAAAAAAAAAAAAAAATTTAACTTATTTCAAATAATAGCTTTAGGCTCAAGGATTTTTTTTTATTTAACTTTTTAAATTTTCAGATTGTATTAATAGACTTTTTGCAAAAAATACTAACAAAACCACCTTAAGTATAGCAATACTGTTCCAGCTGATCTGCAGATTCAGTGAAATCCCTGTCAAAGATTGAATGGCATTTTTTGCAGAAATAGAAAAACTTATCCTAAAATTTATGTGGAACCTAGAGGAACCTCTGCAAAGAGCCAAAAGAATTTTGCAAAAGAGCAAGGTTAAAGGATTGAAACTTCTGATTTCAAAACTTACTTGTATTAGTCAGCTTTCCTGTTGTTGAGACAAAATAACAAATATACACAAGTTAAAGTAGGAGAGGTTTAATTTGACTCACTGTTTCAGAGGGTTCAGTCTATGCTTGGCTGGCACAAAGGCAGAAACATCATGGCAGAGGGGTGTGGCGGAAAAGGTGCTTTTCTTCATGGCAGCCAGGAAACAGAACAGGAATAGTGGGGAGTGGTGTACATGTAGACCTCAAGGTCACACCTCCATAATCCAAGCACCCACAACTGTGCTCTGCTAATTTGGTAGGCAGCCAATTAAGTTGATGGTTAAGTTTAACTATCACAGTCATAAAAACTGTGGGTAAACCAGTGGTACTGAATAGACAGCCCAGATGTAAGGTTGTATACCCAGTATTATTTGATGGGATGTTTTTGACAAGGATACCATGACCATTCAGTGGCAAGTCATATGGCCAAACCCAAAAGTCAAGGGGCAGAGAAGTACTTCCTGCCTCCCTTAAAGCCACAGCAAGAATGTGAATGAATACCACTACCACAACAAATGAAGACATGAAACTAATGGCTCATTGTACTACAGATACATGGTGAGAACTTAAAATAAAAATGGGCAAGGGGCTGGGGATTTAGCTCAGCGGCAAAAGCGCTTGCCTGGCAAGCACAAGGTCGTGAGTTCAGTTCCTGGTACCGGAGAAAAACCAAAAAAAAAAAAAATACAGAATAAAAATGGGCAACATTTTAGAAGTAGGCCTTATTCATTAGTAAATTATTTTTGACCATAAACTTCTTCACATACTAAACTATTTTGACCATTTTAACCAAATCTTTGAAGTCTGTTTTACACATTCTTCCCTTTTAACTTAGATGACAGAAGGCCATTATCATGGACATCTATTACTGTGTGACTTTGTCACACCTCCTCTTTCCTGTTTTGGATTTGTGTGTTTATATATTTTTTTCTTTTCTCTTTCAGCAGTCAACTGTTATTTAATTCAACAGTTAATACTCACTTTTAATAGTTCTACCAGACTTTTTTGTTTGTTTGTTTGTTTTTTGGTTTTTCTCCGGTACCGGGAACCGAACTCACGACCTTGCACTTGCCAGGCAGGCGCTTTTGCCGCTGAGCTAAATCCCCAGCCCCCTCAACCAGACTTTTTAAAAATTTCTTACACCTTTGTTTCTGTTTTTTTTGAGACATGGTCTCACTGTGTAATTCAGGCTGGCTTTGAATTCACTGCTTAGCCCAGGCTGGCCTCAAACATCGATCCTCCTGGCTCAGCCTCCCAAATGCTGGAATTACGGGTGTGGACCACCAGGTCTCACTAGGTTCTTACTCCATGTGTGATATGAAAACCAGTCATTAAGACTGATGGAACTGCAGCTAAAGGAAAAATCTCTGTATTTAATGAGTTAAGTTTATGTCAGTCATATTCAAAAGGTGAAATTCTTTTCCTTCAGATAGCCAGGTACTGTCTGTTTTTTCCTCAGGTTGCATGTTTGCTAATCATGTTTTATTTTTAAAAACTTGATTATCAACTCAAAATATTTTTTACAAAGTACTTTACATAACAAACAGTGCTTTTTACTATTCTATCATATTGTTTAGTTAGAACTAAACTATTCATTGTTGTCAGGCCAGGGACATAGCTCAGTGGCATAGCCCCTGCCTGATAAGTGCAAGGTCGTGAATTGAATTCCCGGTACCAAAAAAAAATTGATGGTTGTCATTTTCTAATGGATGACATGATATTTGTTGTGCCTGCTGGCTAAAGTATTGGCGGGGGTTGGGGTACCAGGGAATCAAACTCAGGACTTAACACTTGCCAGGCAGGTGCTGCGCCACCCGCAGCCCCCTAGGTAGAATATTTCAATATCAAAAGTATATCAATTTATCTTTTTCATTAAGTGATTATATGGAGGGTAACAGGATGGTTGGAAAAGAGAAAACATATGAATAGTGATAGTGTCTTTTGGGATAGGGACTAGTAATAAAAAAAAGCTGACTTAGCTCTTTAAAAGATGTATAATTTACTTTATCCATTTCTCCTGCAATGAAATAGTTCCCAAGAGTTCTCTGCTTTCCACCATGGGTTTTTCCCTTGTCACATCCTCTGTAAAAACCCAAGGCTTCTAGTTGTTTGTTACATGCAGCCCTTTTCAGAATATGAACATAGTGGCATATTAATTTCAAAAGGTAAAACTCAAACCTGAATAATCTGTGATAGCAGTTAAATTATAGCACACTAAGTATAGAGCCTGTTCACATATAAGTCAGTTAAAATTAGATTAACTAAACTTTACAGTCAAGGTGGAATTTTATCCTTCTGTTGGCAGAAACATACTCAAGCATTCCTATCTTTGTTTTGACTAATTATATATGTGTATGTACATATGTACACACGCAAATACACATAAACCCCTCATATAGCCTTTTACTAGTTGTAGTTACCAGTTTTAGTCTGATCCTTTTCTATAAATCTGACTTTGGTTGTTTTAATGTTTCTTCTTCTGAATTCACTTATTTCTATAAGTGGATAGGAATAGAGACATAGGTTTAGCTGTATGTCATATTAGAACTAAATTATTCAATGTTCAAAAATAAAAGGAATTAATGTACTTTTGAAGGAGAAAGAAATTTTTTTATTTCATTGGATTTCCAACAGCCTGGTCTCTGACCACGTTTTAGCTATTTTTAGGAGGAAATTTGATACAACACGGTCCTTAAGAGTAAATATATTTGAATGTCTTGGAAAAGATTATATATATGGTAATGGAAGGGCCAAAGGACCATCAGGTGCCTTCTACAAGGGCACAAAAAGGGGTAAGAGGCCAGGCATGGGGGCGCACGCCTGTAATCCCAGCACTGGGGACGCTAGGCAGGAGGGTCACTGCGAGACCAGCCTGAACTCAAGAGCGAGACCCTGTCTCAAAAAGACAAAGAAAAGAAAAAGGGGGCAGGTAAGAAAAGAGAACAGAGAGAGCTGGGGACAGAGTGGAAAGGTAGCCAGGTGAGCTCGAGTAGGGGCAAGGCAGGTTACTTGAAACACTGTACTGATGAGTGAGGAGGAGAAAACCTTTTTCACGGAATGGTGTGAAACAAATAATAGAATTCTCACATGATATCAAATACACTCGTGCAAACAGGTGAAGCAATTGGTAGGTGACAGTCACATTGAAGACAGATCTGGTGACGGTTGATTTCCAGTATCAGAAAGCCCTTTTAACAATAAACAGAAGCCTCTTGATCTCTTCAAGTCTTAGAAAGGCCTTACCTTGGTGTGTCAGCTACTTTTACCATAATACATTGTTTCTTCAATGCACAAAATTTTAGCTCCAGTGCAAGAGACTTAAAGCGTAAGAAATATGTGTACCATTGAGTTTGTAAAAGGCATTTGGTTACATAGAATTCTAGGCAGTGTAGTAAAGGGAAAATACATTTGTTCTTTCTTTTTTTTTTTTTTTTTTTTTGGGTTTTCTCCGGTACCGGGAACCGAACTCACGGTCTTGCGCTTGCCAGGCAGGCGCTTTTGCCGCTGAGCTAAAGCCCCAGCCCCTATTTGTTCTTTCTTTAGCGTTCTTTACCTAATGTCCTCATTTTGATCCCTTTATCACCCTAAGTAAGCGTTCATTGAAATTGATTATGGTATCCTCTTATATAAAAAGCACTGTTGAGAGGCTGGGGATATAGCTCAGCGGCACAGCACCTGCCTGGCAAGCACGAGGTCCTGAGTTCAATTCCCAGTACCCACATGCACACCAAAAAAAGTACTGTTGGGTTTCTGGAATATCTACTAAAATCCCAATACCTCATCAGAATGAATTTTTTCATGAAAGTTAAATCTTACCCTTTCCACCAAATACGTTGTGACACGTTCTGTCAGTACATGAAAATACACAAAAATAAAACTAGTACATTTTTTTATGGAAATCGCTATTTCAGATTATACATTTTCTTTCTTGGTTATGTATTAGAAATTTTAAAAATAAGTGTTTAATGAACAACTCAGTTTTTTATTTCAGAATTTGAGTGTCTGACATTCAGAATTCAAGTTTGTTAAATAATAAACAGTTAAAAGAATAAACTACCCAAGATGCATTTATTTTACATTCATTGTATGTTGTTCCCACTTCTTTTCAGTAGAACTCACAGTCTGTTAGGCTGACATAAATCCCGTGACAAAGTATACGCAAACCTATAGACAATATTTAATTGCAAAACAGCACCCTAGTGTCCTTTTATGTTGAAATCTTTTCAGTTGACCTTCTTCTATTATTTAATTCCATTACATACTAATAATTGCATTTATTGAAGCCAATATTTCTCAATATAGGAAATGCTGATCTTAGTGAATCTCAAGTATAGGGAGGGAAATGTTCTTTAATAAATAATTGAAAGACTTTTTGTACATTTCACAATTCACTTGGTCTTGTTGCTTTTTATGCCCAGAATACCTTATAAATGGTAACTAAATTACGTTATCTAAAAAGTCATCTCTTCAAGGAATCTCACAAGGTATGCTACATAGTAGCTTATTATAGTAGGTTAAGTAGACTGGCTTTATCTCAAATGGCTACTGTATTTTTAAAAAGAGAGAATAACATAGCCTTTCTGCTTATAAGCCAAATGAATTGACACTTCCAATGAGATGGTTGAAGTTGGGAATTTTTTCTTTTGACAGCATCAACAAAGAAAGCATCGTAGATGTAGAAGGCGTAGTGAGAAAAGTGAATCAGAAAATTGGAAGCTGTACTCAGCAAGATGTTGAATTACATGTTCAAAAGGTAACATTTAGCAATATTAAAATTGTAAGGGTTAGTGATGTAACTCATAATAGAATGCTTTCCTAGCATGCACAAGGCCCTACTTTGATTGCCACCCTAGAAGAAAAAAGATGTGTGTATGTATATGTGTGTGTAAAATTGTGTCTAAAAATACAATAATTGTGTGCAAAAATTGAGTAGTTCTTACAGCTTTCTATGTCAAATGTATGTGTTGTTAATCATTCAAGTTCATGTAAACTATGACATTTATAAGATGACTACTGAAACAGTTTGTTATATAATACATTACCACAGTATTTACTGCCTTAAAATAACAGACATTTGTTTGCTCATGATTCTGTGAGCTATTTAGAGTCTGTTACACGTGGCGTTGATTGCGTTCACTGACGTACCTGGACATCTCTTTCCATGGCCTCTCCTCAACCGGCGCCCAGGCCAGACATGTCTGTATGGTACCAAGATGGTTCCCAGAGACACATAAGGAAAGCCCTGTGCCCAAACACTTTTTAAGCTTTTGCTTATTTCACATTTTCTACCTATTCTGTAGGTCTAAATCACTTTGCAAAACTTAGATTTAAGGGATGGAGAAGTAGAGTCCCGCTCTTGATGGGAAGAGAGGTAACATCATTGCTAGGACTGTGCATCCAGAAACAGGAGGAATTAATGCAGCCATGGTCATAAGGGAAAATCATGAAACATGCGTGAAAACCTTTATTCAGTTAGAAGCCTGTCTTGTTACGAATATTGCTTTTTCTGGTATACTGACAAAGGTTAATTATACTTGCAATATTTTTGCAGCATAGAGAAGTCAAAAGAGACATTCTCATATCGGTCTCACATCCCAGTAGTAACTTTGTGTGTACACAAGTGTGCAAGATTTATCCCTCATCTCCTCTGCAGCATAAAAACTGAAAGTGTTCATTATCATTGACTTAAAATGCCTTGAGTAAATTTGCACATATTTACTGCAATTGAAACAACCCTACAACCTTGAACCTAACCCTTTCAAACTGAAATCTCAGATTCATACTGCATCTAAAATATGCATCATTAAATTTCTTTCAAGACATATTCTTCAAAACAAAGTGGCTTTGTCCCACCCTCAGCTGTGTGTGTGGGTGTGTCTGTCTGTCTGTCTGTCTCCAAGCACAAGTGTGCATAAAAGAGGCAGACTAATAGATTCACAGAGAACAGCACATACATACTAACTTGGGAGCAAGGTTATATTTAAATAGGAATTGATTATCATGAAACTCTTTGAGACGTAGAAAATCTTGTATTTTTACCAACCCAGCTTGACAAATTACTTTGTTCTTTGTGTAAGTCTAACTTCGAATCATCCCCACCAGGAACTCTTAACCTAAGTCCATTTATGGTGGCCAAGAAAGAGCCCCCTCTCTCCATCTTCCATGTATCTTTTTCAGTACTTTGTATAGAAAATTATACTGACTAAAACAAATGTACTATTAAGATATTCTTAATGCACTGGGGAGATAGCTCAGTGGTAATTGTACTTGCCTACCATACTGAAGGCCCTGAGTTCAATCCCCATCAGCTTAAAAAAATACTCTTACAGTCAAACAAGTAGTACCAACCTTGATAAGTGTTAACGAAGTCTAAGGAGTTTACAGACAAGTTACACCAAAATAAAAATAGTATATTGTGTTTCACAAACATAAAGTATTGTAGACTTCACTAGCATTGACTCTTCTTTCATTCATTTACTTACGCCACAGCAGCTATTGATTATACTTTGTGCTGAACACTGTGTGAGGTTCTAGCAATCACAGTACAACCTGATGAAGGAGATGATACATTTCCACTAGTTATCAAAGTGGAAGTAGTTCTTCAGTTGTGTTAACTTTGGGTTGAAGATAAATTATCAAAGGGAACCCTACAATTTAGGGTTAAGAGAGAATAGTGACCAACTCTATTTTATGATGTGGAAGACTGAAGTATCCTTCTGACACTTTCTTGAAGTGTCTGAACTGAATGCTAAATGTGATCTGCCACATGAAGAATGTAATTTCCTTTCTTGAATTAACCAAGTAAGGCCTGTTTCCCTTTTGTGCTATAGCAGGTTTTTCTGCAATAATTGGGAATAACTAATACAGTAACTTTTCTTTTTCTCCAGTACCGGGAACCGAACTCACGACCTTGTGCTTGCCAGGCAGGTGCTTTGCTGCTGAGCTAAATCCCCAGCCCCCTACAGTAACTTTTTTTTAAGGGTGATCAGACAACCCTAAGTCAGTCTTTATGAACGAATTGCTTTTTATCACTAAAATGTGAAGCTTATGTCAGTGAATGTTGAGGGATTTCAACAACATAAATGAACATCCTCGAGGCTGGGGATTTAGCTCAGTGGCACAGCGCCTGCCTGGCAAGCGCAAGGTCGTGAGTTCAATTCCCGGTACCAGAAAAAAAAAAAAAAAAAAAAACAACTAAATAAATAAATGAACATTCTCTGTTGCAGCCCCCAACCAGGAGAGTAGCAGAAAATGAGATGCAACATGTTTGATGATAAGAGACGATGAAGGAGTGCTTTGAAAGAGAGAGAATGAGAAAAGGGAGGAGAGGTATAGCGAAGAGGGACTGAACCTAGCCCTAGGAATAGCAGTCGCCAAATGCTGTTAGCAGTAACAGCAGCTCGTCTGACCATGGTTTGATTTCTTACAGCAGACCTCATAACTAGAGCTCTGAGATTGATTTCCCTAACAACAGCTTTAAAAAAATTACAAACCCCATTTTATAGGTGAAAAGTTTGTATCAGCCTGTATGATTTCAGCAAGTAGTTAAAGGTGTATGCAAATACTGCTTAATCTGTTTTTTGTTTTTAAGCAGAAGATAATCCAGCTTTGCGTGCTTTTTGCTATTTTCGGCAATTTCTCACTTGCAGATTTATGTCATTAGTTTGGCTGAACCCCGCCTGCCCTTACAGCTGGATGATGCGATTCGGCCTGAGGTAGAAGGAGAAGAGGTAAAATTTGTATTTATTAAATACCCTTCTACTGTATGCCTAGCTCATGAAATATTAAAAACCTAGTGTCCTGCTTCTATATTAAGAGTGCCTGTGAATTGCTTTGAGCCTATTGTTGAATTTACTCTTGCAGGGGCCAGGTATATGACTTAGTGGTAGAGCGCTTGCCTCGCACATACAAGGCCCTGGATTCCACTCCCGGCACCAGTAAATAAATAGAGTAATTTACTCTCACACCAGCAATTTCCAGATTTACTGGTCGTAAGGTCCCTTTTACACACTTAAAAATAGTGGAAGTATCCAGGCATTGGAGGCACATGCCTGTAATCCCAGCACTTGGGAGGCTGAGGCAAGAGGATCCCTGTGAGTTCAAGGGCAGCCTGTCTCTAAAAACCACCTCCCCCAAAAAACAAAACTGAAGATATCCCCCCAGCATTTGTTTTGATGGTCTGTCACTATTTACAGAAATAGAAGTTAAAACGAATTTTTAAATATGTGTATTAAATGATATAAATGTATGACTTTATATAATAACATATTTTCCAAGACAATAACATACTGTGAAGAGTGACTGTGTTATATATGTACAAATCTTTATACTGTCTACCTTAACGTGCAACAACTAGATTTTCTCACTGCCTCTGGATTTGCTGTCCTATGATAGTACCCATCATACTGCCCTTAGAAAATTTCCCAGTTCATTCATGACAAATGAGTGGAAAGTGTTATTATGAAAAATACATTTGACTTCATGGATTCACGGAGTCTCAGAAACCTTCAGTGATTCCTTACCACACTTCTGAGAACCACTGCTCTGTGTCAGCTTTTATCTGTTCAGTCAGTCTGAGGCTGACAGGTTAAATGCAGGAATCAGTAATGGTGCAGGTGGTTAATTTTTCTGATGTGCCCCAATAATGAAACAAGGCTTTGGTGGGGGTTGGGGAGAGAAAGAAAGAATTAGCATCTGTTCATTCTCATTTCTCTTGTTTCTCTTTTAACGCTGCTTTTTGGCACTGCCTCTGTTTCTGACATTATTTTGGATCCTTGATTTTTTTTTGCATAATATTAACAAACAGATACCTAGTCTTAAAAGTAAACATGGCTTTACTTTTTAAGTAGTAGTATTTTTTGTGTTCATCAAAAAATTAGTAAAATCTTTTTTTCAATCTTTTTTCTTTCAGGAAGGAAGAGCTACAGTTAACCAAGATACAAGATTAGACAACAGAGTCATTGATCTTAGGGTATGCTTCATTTATTTATTGAGTGATACGGTTGTGCCAAAATTGAGATGGGCAGGGATACCATAAAGCTAATTAGCGTTTGCCTATATTTAAGTATAAAGTACAAGAAACAGTTTGCCTTTCCGACTGACCCATCCTCTGAAAGGAATTGCTGGAAACAGAAACATTCAAGTACTAGTTCACAGGGTATTGAATCACTTTGTTTTAAAGTGACAGGTGAACCCGGATGTGGTGGCACACACCTGTAATACCAAGCCCTCGGGAAGCTGAGACAGGAATGTTGCCATGAGTTTGAGGCCAGCATAGGCTACATAGTGAATTGAGTTCAAAGATAGCCTGTACTACATAGCAAGAGCCTGTCTCAAAAAAAAAGACAGATGATCATAAAGCCAGTGTATGGGTTCATTCCAGGTGATACATGTTTTGGACACGTTTAGTCAGCAAGTGGAAATGTAACAATTAACATCACTACAAAATTGAAAGAAATTATGTGCACATTTTAGGACAGCCAGATGCAGATGAGTAATTAATGCCTCAGTCCTTTTAATTTGATCTGAACAGAGAATTTATAAAAAGATACAGTTGTCCCTGGTGGTTTATGTAGTAATCTCGTGGGTCTTCTATTTCCGTTTTGGTTTAGTTGCAAGTGCAAGACTCCAGTGGTTTCATCGCTGTAGTAAAGCCAGTGTCATCTTCCTTTCTTAATGTTTGACCACATCTTCCTCCTCTACTTAAATGTTCTACCTGATGTTCAGATTCTGTTACTTTAAGAATTGTTTCCAACTCCTTTGCAGTTATGTAAGTCTGCCTTATAATGCACTCAGTTTTAGTCATTATTTGTTGTCTGGTTTTATTGTCTCCATTTTAATTTATGTCAAAAAAGTAAATACTAATAAAAAGTTTTTCTGTTGCCTGGAAACCTCGGGTTTTTCGTGTATTTTGGCCACAGGAGTTAGGTATCATACTGTATTTGCCCGTGGTGTTTGTTTACATGGTTGTTACTAGCTTGTGCCTCTAGAATTTGGCCCAGAGAGTTTGGGGTTGTTTTTGATGACTGTCATTATTTTAACTTAAATTCATTGCCACCATTGGGAAATGGGAGTTTTGTTGGGTGCAGTGATGAACATTCGTAATCCCAGCTACTCCAGAGGTTGAATCAGGAGGATCATTCGAGCCCAGGCATTCCAAGGCCAGCATGGGCAACAGAACGAGAAACCAACTTAAAAAAAAATGGGAGTTTTCACATTTTTCTAGGAAAGCTAGAGGAGCATGTGGAAATCCTGGGCAATCTGGGCTGGCATTCTAGGTGGGGCGTGTGTCCCCTGCTTGTCCTGTGCCACCCAAAAGGTATCATTCATTTGTGGTACTTATATGATCCTTAGAAACACTTTTATTTTTAACCCCTAGTTTGACCTTATATTTAGCAAGCACTGAACCAGGAATATAGCTGTGACACAGCGCCTGCCTGGCAAGTGTGAGGTCGTGAGTTTGATTCCTAGTACAAAAAGAGAAAGAAAGAAAGAAAGAAAGAAAGGAGGGAGGGAGGGAGGAAGGAAGGAAGGAAAGAAAGAAATAGCAAGCATTGTGTACACTAGCAATTTAAATCCTTTAAGCAACTTAGTTTACAAAAACAGCTGTTTTTTCTTCCGCAGTTTTGCAAGGTGAAGGGTTGGAAAGGTTGAGGGTAAAAGGTGTAATTACTTTTTCCCTGTAGTATGAAATAGTCCAAGAAACATCTTCATATTCTCATGTAGCTGAAAATTTCTATAATGAAGTATTTTTTCTATGAAGTTTCCAGACAGGTGGCCTAATTAAAAAATACTTCGTCATCTGGCCCCAAGAGTGTTAAAATGTTAAAGTAGTTTTCATTCCTGGCAAAGTCTGAATTAAGTTATCTTGCCACTTTTTTGGTTTAGAGCACTCACCTAGTTTATATTCTGGATTGCTTTGGCAAAATAGCTTCATCCTTGCTGATGGGCATTGCTCTGAGGGTTTTCTGGGAATATGTTCAGGAGAGTTACATTTAGATCATAATTACTCTCTTCTTTCTCCCCACTCTTGACAGCTAACATTGTCAGAGTAGCAGATGGGTATTTTTCCCTCTTAGAATACTTTTAAATACTTTTCCCAGGTAGGAATGGATTGCTTTAGTTGGTTCAAAACTATAATCCATTTCTTTGTGTACACCCCCTACACTAAAGCCATTTAGTCTGCAAAATATTAATATATTCATATGACAGATCTCGTTCTATGTAAATACTGTGAAATATATATTGCTTACTTTCAAAGATAAATTTTATCAAGGAAATAAGACTATTACATGAATTTTTAGAACAGTCATTTCATTCCTTGTATTGCCAAGTGAATATAGAAACTGAGCATTTCAAAAGATGTATTATATTATCCCTTTGGCCATTTGTTTTGACATGCCCAAAGGAGGGAGCAATTTAGAACTCAAAAGTAACCTGACCCTGAAGAAACCCCATGGCTCTTCTCAACTTCCCTTGCTTCACCAATATACCGTGTTACTCCCATTAATGGGAGAGCACATTATCTCTGAAACTATCCTACAACAGTAGCATGTACTGTATGTTTCTATAATATATTCCTTTCTATATTGCATATATATGTAGTGGAGAATAGTTAAAGTAACTATCTGAGCATTTGTATTATTGCTCAGTAATATAGCCCATTTTGAGACTTGTGGGTTAATGAATAGACTGGGATACCTAAAAGTATCAAGTGCTTTTTTTCTAATTCATTGCCCACCTAATTACTTTAAACAAACATTTTCCAAACCAAAAAAAAAAAAATCTGTCTACATTCCTAAAGAACTTTGGTGATTGCTTCATCACCTTTTGGCTAAGATTAAGTAGTATCTGTTATCAGTTTAATATCTTGATACGTCCTCTATCCAAGGACAATATATTAAATGGATTTTTGCAGCTGGGAGATGGAATAGAAGCTTGCTCCATCCGCTCTACACATTGTCCTGGTATTGCTGTACCTCCGGGAACAGTGCACCCCTGCAGGGAATTAAAATTTAAAAAAAAAAAAGAACTTTGGTGAAACATATGTCTCTGTATCCATATGCGTAATGGTGAAAGAGCTTTAAACAGCTCTTGGTTTTAAATAGGTTGGTAGGTTTTTGAAAATATATTATACAATTTGTTGTGATTGGATGAACCAAATGTTTCCCTTAAACCACATACTGTTTTTTCTTAAAAGCCACAAGTCTTTCTCTCTAGTTTAAGTGTAGATGTATTCAAACTAAGTAGGTAGTCTAATGAATTATATAGGTCTTTTAGATGATTCCCATTCCTTTGTGAAGAATTATTGATTTACATGTTGAATTTAAATTATTTGCATCTTGAATTTGAGTTTGAATTATGAAATAATACCACTTAAGTATGTCCCCTGGTTTATATAAATTTATTTAGCCCTGATCTCAATTCAAGATTATTAAATAGTATTCTTTACAGTGAAAGAAATACAGGGTAGCCATCATTAACAGTGCTTTCAAAGGGCTCTACTGTTTAAATTCAGAATGCTGTGTGCACCATGTCAGGAGTGAGCCCTTTGCCACAGGGCAAGTAATTGAAATTGCTGAATACTAACTCAGCTATCCACAGCACCTATATAGTCATAGGAGATATATATGCAGGACGTAGGGATAAGAAACCAGTTCTTAAGATAATTACCTCTAGACCTTTTTGGCCACTATTAGAAGTGACTGAACCTGAAAGGGGGGTGGTGCAGTAACTGAGAAAGGAGAGAAAAAAGAAGATGACAGAGTACTACGCTTAATTGCTTTATGTGCCATTGGGGAATCATTGTCATCAAATGCCTACCCCTTTTATTATTTTTCTTAATTGGAACAAGTATGTGACTGTCTCCAATTAATACGTTATTGATAATAATGATTAAGTGTATGGCAGCTTTATTTATTATTCAGTGCTAAAGTCTTACTTTCATTTGGAGTGCATTTGAATGCTGCACAAATATTGGTACATCTCACTTAATGGGTTGCTTTGTAAAAAATTCACAAGTAAGGTGTTTCATTTATTTGTTAAGAAATATTTTTCTTTTATGGAATGCTTACAAATTAAGACATCTGCTTGCTATGCCTTCGTTGTGAGAAGAACTTTGTAAGATCATGTACTGCATAGCCATTACATTCCAGCATACCTTCACCACCTTTTGCCCTCTGTTACATTTGTATGCTTGTCTTCTCTTCTACTACAGTGTTAGACTTAAAATGTTGAGAGCAATAATTGTATTTACCTTTAGGTTTCCAGCAGTGCAGAGCACACATGGCAAGTGCTCAATAAATGTATAAAATTGATTTAATTACATTTTGTTGTTGTCCTATAGACATCAACTAGTCAGGCAATCTTCCGTCTCCAGTCTGGCATCTGCCATCTCTTCCGAGAAACTTTAATTAACAAAGGTTTTGTGGAAATCCAAACTCCTAAAATTATTTCAGGTATGCTTCAAAATATTTCTCTTTTTATTTTTTTCTTTTAGTTTTTTTTTCTTTTTTTCCCTAATTTTTAGAAATAAACTTACTTTTTAGCACTCCGGGAAGCTAAAGCAGGGAAATGGCACCCAGCCTGAGCAACTTAAGGACTTACCAAGACCAGTCTCAAAATTAAAAAAAATATTTTTAAAGTGGGGAAGGGAGGCTGAGGGTGTAGTTAGTTCAGTGCAAAGGGCCTAGGTTCAGTCCCCTGTACCATCACATCCCACTCCTCAAAAAAATATATGTCTTCCTTCCTTTCCCCAGAGTTGCTTATATAAAATTTTTTTAACTGGATAATACTGAGTGTCCTTGGAGGTTTATTGCCTCTTTGTATTTATTTAGTTAGAGTTTATTACTCTTTAGTATTGAAGTTTATTGCCTCTTAGTATTAATACTACTTAGTATTTCAAAGACATATCAGCCATATCACCACCACCAGTAATACTACATCTCCTTATTCTATGAGTTCTATTGTGATAATAACTATAAAATGAGGCAGTAATACACAAAGTCTAATTCTGATTATATAAGTTAGACAAGGAACTATTTTTATTGTATGTTTCTTTCAAAATTGGTACTGAAATTTATCTGTAGAAATTGTGTTGTAAAGTCACTGAATACATACTGGTGGGGAAACACATTAATATTAGTGGTCTCCCCACCTAACCCACACACTTTTTTTTTTTCTTTTTGCATTACTTAGTATTGAACCCAGAGGTGCTCTACCATTGAACTACATATTTTACTTGGAGATAAAAGTCTCGCTATGTTGCCCAGGCTGGCCTTGAATTAGCTGGGATTTTTTAATTCTCATTCATATATGAAAATCTTGTTCTGATTATTTCACCCTTTTTAGAGTTGCTTAAGTAACACTAAAAAAAAAAGACTATGCCACATTATAAGTGGCATTTAGATACAAATAACAAACTAAGCATTACAATCTTAGTATTTGGAAAACTGATGAAGAATATCTTTTTTCCTTTTTAAAATTTTTACAACTTTAGAATACCTTTAATATTTTTGAAATTTGTGCAGAAAGGGAGCATTTATATCCAGAGAAGTAGAAATACATCTCTGTGGTACAATTTCTCTACAGTTCTTGGTTTTTCCAGTCTTTCTTTTTTTCTTGAAGTAAATTAGTTGAATCAAAGTATAGATTGTTCTTAGCAGAAGCTTATGTAAACAAACTTACAATTGATTATAATAATGTAAATATTTACATTTCAGCTGCCAGTGAAGGAGGCGCCAATGTATTTACTGTGTCATATTTTAAGAATAACGCATACCTAGCTCAGTCCCCACAACTGTATAAGCAAATGTGCATTTGTGCCGACTTTGACAAGGTTTTCTGTATTGGACCAGGTAAGATTTTATCACTTACGGTTTTTCTGAGTTCATTAATTGTATAGTATTTATGGTATTAGGTACATGTTTTACATACATAATATGCAAACATTTTGAAGGCTCAATTCTTATATCTGCTGGACATAAAAACTAGACTTTGAGATAGAAATGACAGTGTACCTGGGTAAAGATTTTTTAAAATATACTCAATAGTTTCTTATACATTTGAGCATTACTTGTATGAATAAAATTGTAAGTATTATCTGTTCTTGTTTTGTTTTGGGGGAGATTTGTTTTGGTTTTGGTTTTTTGAGACAGGGTCTTGTTATGTAGTTCTGACTGGCCTTGAACTTACTGCATAGCTTAGGCTGGGCTCTAACTCACAGTGTTCTTCCTGCCTCAGCCTCCCAAGTGCCGAGATTACAGGTATGCACTACCACACCCAGCACATCTATTCTTGAAGAATAGTGAAGAAAATTTTTATCTTAAGTGCAATTAAAAACAAAACTAGTCCTCATTTGGACTGGCCTTTCAACTTCCCATTACTAAAAAACAGATAGTTGCACTCTTCCAGATGTTATCTCTTGTTTTCTTTATAACCTCCTACTGTTGAAAGTTTATAGTCTACTTTTTTCTGCTTTACTAACAATTTTATTCTAGAGCTGTTCTGTTTCCCTAATGTTTGTACCATCTTTAGTATAGATCTTATGCTAGTCAAGTTATAGGAGATGTTTTACATTTCACAGGTTATATTAAAGTCAAGTACAATGATATAATTATATGGCATATATTTGTGAAGTTAATTATAAGCAAAAAAAAAAAAAAAAAGGTTTACTTAATTCTTTAAAATTTACCAAGTTCCCCAGATGGCTCACTTGAGATGTTAGTAAGAATTTCCTCCTTAGTATTCTATAGCTGTGATGAGAAGGAGGCCAAGGAGAGAAAACAGAGAGACCAAGAAAAAGCAGCTGCTTTTGCTGCAGCACTAAGAGAAACAGATCCTAAGTCTGATTCTCAGGGCCCCAAGAAGAACTCGATGACTACATTCATCTGCTACCACTGTTAAAAGCCAGGCCACCTCAAGAGGAACTGCCCTAAGAAGCCCCCTGGGCCATGCCCTGAATGCAACGGTGACTACTGGAGATCGGTCTGCCCTCTTAAGCAGAGGCCCCAGAGCTCAGACCCTTCCTACCAGTTAGTCCAGTAGGAATGAGGGGACCCGGGGCATACTCTGCCTTCTCCCTCTGGCCAGACTGTCATCTCCATGGGGAGCCCTGGGTAATCATGACTACAGAGGAAAAAGAAAACAGCCTGTTGCTAGACACAGGTGCAAGTCTCTCAGTCCTTCTTTTCAATCCTGGCCTTCCTTCCAGCCATCACACCTCAGTGAAAGGAGTCACTGGTGAGGAGGTAATATGCTATTTTTCACAACCCTTAGGCTGTAACTACTTGTTAGATCTTTCTTGCATTTCTGTCTTCCTGAGAAACCACTTTGAAGATACCACCATGTATTACAGCAGCCATTGATATTTTCCTACTAATCATCCATAACTCTGTAATGTTCATATTGTTCCTATGCTATTTCATAAATGGTTTTATGTTTATTACTATGTGTTTCCTACAGCCATTGAGAATAGTCAGTGATTATTCAGTTGGTCACTCATGTATAGCTGTATTTATTTTCTTTAAAAACCATTTTGAAGATACCAAAGTATAGTACAACCATTGATAATCTCCTACCACTTTTGTCTGTAACTCACTATTATTTGTCTATTTGTTTTCCTCAGAAACTATCTGTCGATAACAATATGTAAAACAACAACCATTGATAAAATTTACGAAGTTATTTTATGTTTTTGATAGCTTAATAAAAATTAAATACTTGCTAATAGAAAAACTGGCAAGATCACTGTCCTAATTTTTTGAATTTATTAACCAGTTACTTGTTGAACACCTACTTCATATATAGTCTGGTTACCCCAGGTATCAAGTACATAAAAAAAAGAGTTGACCAGCACATCTCAAATGTTAATGCATACAGATCACCTGGGGGGGTCTCTTTGAAATACAGATGCTAGTCAGTAGATCTGGGGTGAGGCCTAAGATCATGCAGTTCTTATAAGTATCCAGGTACAGTTGATGGTGCTGATTTGTAGATCAAGTTTTGAAAGATGGGAGAGTAAACATTCCTGCTCCCAACCTAAGACATATGTGCATATAGCAATCACAAGGAATAATCAAATGATTTTTAAAATGAATAATCAGATTGTGCTGTACAGTTAGCAGATGGGTGTTAATTATGTAGTAGGTAATTATGTAGCAAGTGCAAAAAGCAGATGAAATTTGCTAGAGTCACTATAAAAGAAAATCCAAACTGAAATGTGCTGTAAGGACAGAACAGGATACATAAGCAATAGAGTTGACATCTAGTCAGAGGAGACTGCTCAAAGAAACAAAAATAAGAATAGTATTAAGGAGAAATGGGAAGTACAGGTTAAGGTTAAATTGTGAAAGCATGAAAGTTTAGATTCTTTCTTTTCGTCATTTTTATGTTTTACTGCAGTAGTCATTTGGGAATCATTTTATGTTATGGAGCAAAGTAGTGTTAAAGAAATACTGATTTGGCAGTGATGTGAAAGATGAACCAGGCTAGACCAGGAACACTGAAAGCACGCAGTGCAATGCAGTGCGGGTAATGAGAGTTGGGTTGAAATAATGGCTAGAATATGGATAATGTTACTTCATTTGTACAGAATTTCATTTAGCTTGAGTCTCGTTTTAATAAAATTGAAAAGAACTTACTATATTGGTCATAATTGAATCTCTTTTAATTATTGAGAAGGTTTTAATTATTGAGGAGGGTACCTCAGGATCTTGTATTCCCTTGGGGTTCTCAGGAGTCTTTTATTAATTTACATTTGGTACAGCTTTTACTGTGCAACCGTAGGAGTTGGTAGTGGATTTGCTGTCCCAGAGATTGCCAAAGCAGATGGCTTGTCAGAAGTCCTTCATCACTGCAGTGATATGAAAATAGTACACTTGAGCAGTATTAAACCAAATTTTGCATTTAAATCTCAGTTTACCTAAAATTTAAAATACTATTTGCATTTTATTTCTTTTATTAATTTCACAGTATTCAGAGCCGAAGACTCCAATACCCATAGACATCTAACTGAATTTGTTGGTTTGGACATTGAAATGGCTTTTAATTATCATTACCATGAAGTTTTGGAAGAAATTGCTGACACCTTGGTACAAATATTCAAAGGACTTCAAGAAAGGTAAAGTATTTTATATCCCAAATGGCCTTAATTTGGTGAGGTTTTTTTAAATAATAATTTGGGCTTGGAAGAGATAAATTAAATTTCTGTGGGGCATACTTGACAATTAAATAATTTAAATACAGTTATGTGCTATATGAGGATGTGTCAGTCAATAGGGGGATCACATATACCACGATGGTCCCAGAAGATCATATCAACAAATGACCTCATAGCCACTTAGTTTGTGGAGGTACATTCTGTTATGTTCATACAGTGACACAATCACAGATTGTAGCCCTGTCTTTAAGTAGCAAATCACTGGAGTTGGAAATTCCACACAGAATAATGCTTCTGGATTCAAGTCAGTTAAGCTGCAACTTGTTAGCCTTTTTAGTGATAAAATTTACCAGTTTGTGAACAACTCAGTTATATTTATTTTTTCCTTTATATTGATACCCTGAGTGTGTAAAGAAATAGAGTTTTGTTGGTTTTATAGCAGTTTCTTATTTGGGATGTAGTATGGAATAGGTAAGTGCTCAGGTTCAGCTATACACAGTGATACTTCAGTTCACAAATTTAATTTGTTCTACTGCGATTTTGGAAAAGATGTCCATGTTGTGTTTATGTGGGAAAGATGGCTACAGTTGTGTTTGTCACCTGATGCAGAATTTACAAACAAAAGTAAAATTTTGCCAAACGCTTCTGTTTGTGAACCACATTGTTTGCAAACAAAAGCATTCATGAACCAAAGTACCACTGTGTAGATAACCTGAGTTCAGATTCCAGTTCTGTGCCCAGCATGGTGGCACATGCCTATAATCTCAGAACTCTGAGGCTGAGGCAGGAGGATTGCCACAGGTTCGAGGCCAGCTTGGGCTACATAGTGAGTTGAAGGCCAGCCTGAACTACAGGGCAAGACCCTATCTGAAAAACTAAAATAAACTAAAATAAAAAATTTCAGCTCTGCTACTTATCTCTGTGAGCATTATACAAGTTTTTACCTCTGTGCCTCAGATTCCTCAGCTGTTAAATGGAAATAATATTACTCACCTCAGAGATAGAATAGCTCTTCAGTGTACTAATTCTGAAATTTTACTAAATCTGTCCACATATAAATTAAGCCCATGTCAAGAATGGTTAAATTTTAAATTTACTGAGTGCTTAGTAAAGATTAGAAGCTAATAGGTGGAAAGTTTTCTTTACCAGTTCGGGTTGATGAGTTAACTTTTACAGAAATATTAGATGTGTTCTGGAACTTCAGAAAATTGAATTATGTAAAATATCCCCTTTACCGTACTTCAAGTATAAAATAGACTATAGCAGCTTTATCTAATACTTTAATAATTTATGAAAATTTTTATTTTAAAACCACTGATTTAACAATTCATCATTGATATAAGTGGTATGCTTCATTAATATTTTAAAAACTTACAAAGGTGAATTTTGTTTATTCTATTGAAGGCTAATTAATCCATTCAGGAAGGCAAAAATTAGCTGTGCCCTGTGGTTCATGGTCAGAATCCCAGGACTCTAAAGCTGAGGCAGCAGAACTGCAAGTTTGAGCCCAGCCTGAGCAATTTAGATTCTGAACAAAATTAAAAAATAAGAGGATGTTAGAAGCCAGTGCCCATGGCAGCATGAGTGGAGTGTGCTCCTGGTGGCCTGAGGAGGTATGAGCCCTTCCAGGCATCCCCAGCAGTGCCCCCACATCTGCAGCTACCCGCGAATCAGCCCAGTCTTCGTTCAAAGGTGAAGATGGTAGTGGAAGCTGCGCAAGTCGAGCAAAGCAGGCAAAAATTCAAGAAATACCTGTTAAAGCAAAATCATTGTTGATGTACAAACAGGAAAATCAGATTTCCAGTAATAGAGTGATGACATCTGAAGACCAGGTCCAAGAAGGGACAAAACTCCTGAGTGGAGAGCTGGCAAAGGAAGAGTGCTGAAAAGGCCTGCTAACTCAGTCACTACCCAGCCCGAGCCCAGGAGACAAAATGAAAATCTGGTGGGATCCTTCTGGACTGCCATGGCAGAGGAGGGGGAACAAAGGTTACTTACTGACAAAGTAAACAAGGGATGCCCAAAAGAAGAAATAATGACTTCACTGAGTGACCTGATTAAAAATATTCCAGATGCTAAGAAACTTGTGAAATATTGGATACGTCTTATACATATTGAATCAATCACAAGTCCTGTTGAGAATACTGCCTCAGTCTGTGAGAAGGCTGTCCTGGCAGGAGGTCAGCTGTTGAAGTGATGTGACAGACAGTTGTGGATATTATAACAACAAAGAATCAAGAAAAAAGTAATTGTGGAAAAAGTATTAAAGATTGTCTTGATTACTTTTCTCTCATTGCTGGGGCAAAATATCCAACACCCAAAATTAAGGAAGGAAAAATTTATTAGCTCACAGTTTGTGGAGGTTTCAGTCCGTAATCATCTGGCTCCACAGCAGGCTGACAGCAGAGGGGCAACAGTTCAGGGATACAGAAGACAGCAAAAGCAACAAGAACAAAAGGGGGATTCATTGTATGTGGGCTACCTGTCCTTGGGTGGTGGAGCACTCACACCATCTCCACGCCCTCTTGCACAGGCTCAGGATGTTTACAGAGTGAGGCCCCTGCCCCTGCTAATCACTTAATTAAACTTCTAGACTTCTCAAGTTAACATAATAAACAACAGGGGCTGGGGATTTAGCTCAGCGGCAAAAGCGCCTGCCTGGCAAGCGCAAGGTCGTGAGTTCGGTTCCCGGTACCGGAGAAAAACCAAAAATAAATAAATAAATAAATAAAATTAAAAAAAATAACATAATAAACAACATCCTAGAGTGGTAAGGGCATATAGATGAGTTACTTAGTTAAGCTTCAAGACTTCTCAAATTGACACAAGGTATCAGCCATTACAAAGATGCTGCTAGAAGGAAGGTAAAAATCCAGGGAATCAAGACTAGAGGATACGGGTGTTAATCTAGAGCCAGGAAAACCAGAAATGGAGAATAGACATAATAGAAATACGGTGTTTAAAGACTCTGAAAACAGCAAGCTGACCAAAAAAAGAAAAAAAATCCAACTGACAATTTAAAAACTCGATGCAGAAAATAGATCAAGTTGCTTAATTAAATATAACATATGTACTACATCATACTTGCAAAGAATAAAAAAGAAGATGCAACTTGATGAAATAAATTCTACACTTAAAGAGCTAAAGTTTCTAGAAGGCGCGCGAGCGGCAAAGCTTTCTCCAGAGCCGTCAGAGAGCCGGAGCGCTTCTGAGTTGGTGATCAGCCAGTTGTGGTCCAGCATGCAGAAGTGAGCAAGAGGTGCAGAGCAGCAGAGCTGATGGGGTGATAAGGATGTAAATGTGTTTGAAGGCTTCCACACACTCCACTCCAGGCTGTGACGTTGTTTGGGACCAACAAAGGAAGTTTACTCTGTCATTAAGACTGGCTGAGCCGTGGCCACAGGTGACATATGCAGCTGTTCAATGCCTGGAGCCCTGCTGACTGCACTGATGCATAGAAGAGTCACCACTGGAGAGATGTCAGGTGTTTGATTAGCTTACTTTCTGCAACTTTTATATAATTTTAACATACCATTTTACTTTTATTTTTGTTCATTTGAATAAAATACATAAGAATCTTTAAGAAAAAAAAAAAAAGCTAAAGTTTCTAACACCAGTGAGACATTCTGAACTCTTCGAGAGATTCTACATTGCCCGATATGTTAAAAGACGGTTTCCTTTGTGTGTCTTCACTGGAAATTACCAGAGTTAGGTGAAGTGATGCTTTTGTATACTGCCCTAATAGAACACTGGGCCCTGTTTACTCTGAGACTGGTACCTCAAAGGAGAAATAAAGTTCCAGAAGGGAGGGAGGGTTTTTATTACTTTCCTTGAACCTGGAGTTGGCCAAGTATATAAGTATTCATGGAAGTAAGTTCCTATATGGACATTCACATCACGGGAATTGTTTGTTCATCTGTGTGTGGAAAGCTAGTCCTATCACGTCAGGCTCAGCATACTTTTTCTTTAAGATAAGTGTGTGTTATTAGTTTCTTTACCATGTTCCTTAAATATAAGTACATTTGTTATGTTACCTTGTTCACTATTAAATTTAGGTATAGTAATGATGCATTATCAGAAAATGAGGTGTTCTAGATAAAATTTATATTACATGGACATGTTTCAAAAAAATTTGATACACTTCCCTGTCTTTAAACCAAATACTGATGATGCTTTCTTTGCCTTGATTTGATTAGTGTAAAAGTCAAAATTTAGGGCTGAGAGGTAGGCATGGTGGAGCACGCTGTAATGCTAGCACTCAGAAGGGTGAGGTAGGAAGATTGTGAATTCAGTGTCACAATCTTAGTGAGACCCTGCATCAAAAACAAAAACAAGAACTTGGGACAGGGAATAAAGCTCAATGACAGAGTGGATGCTTAGCATGCCTAAAGACCTTCATTCAATACCTAGCATCAAACAAAATAAAGTAAAAAATTATAAATGTATAGAGCTGCTCCCTTAATTATTAGGATATACGGGGTTTAGCTTGCTTTTCCTCCAGACTCATGTTATTCAGACTGTTGTGTTGTTTCATCCCTTGACCAGCCTATGGTTCTGTCTTTTGCTGTCTGATGGTATGTATCTGTGGTCTTTTCCGCTGTCTCTTGATTATAACTGAGTTTGCAAAGAAATTGTTAACTGGGTACCCCATATCTAATTGAGGTATTTCTTGAAGTGTAAGAAAAACATTGTGCCAAATTAGTGGATATTCAAAACTTTAAATCTCATGAGTTTTTTCCTTTTGTATTTTGCAACTTGATTGACAGTATTAAAATTTTAACTTGCATAGCTTCATTTGATAGTTTATGAACTATATTAGAGTTTGGGAAGGATCTATATATTTAATGTCATTGTAGTTTAGATAGCATTTCTCAAATAAGCAATATTTATTCTCCATAATATAAAAACATCACTGTTAAATTATGCCACCTAGACATAAAGTTTTCTTCTCCCCACAAATAAAGACCACCAGTAAAATTGTTTTATGAAGTTCGAACTATATATTTAAATGGCATAGCAATTCTATCAACTCTACAGTTTTAAATAAGTGAATACTAAAAGATCAGTTTAATAACTGAAATATAAATGTAAATAACACGTACTTAGTCTTAATGTTCACTCCTGTTTTGGGGTACCAGAAATAGAAGTCAGGACCTATTATCTTATATTCTAAGAGTTGAACTTTTATTCTTAATATCTGTATACCTAATATATATCCAATAAAAGTATCTGTATAATGAAAAAAAAAAGGTTGAGGATGTAGCTCAGTATGAAGGCCCTGAGTCAAAACTCAGTATCAAAATAATTAAATAAATAAAGAGAATTAAAAATTTGGGAGGTACTGGGTTTCAAACACAGACCGTCATGCTTACCAGCAGATGCTGCACCACTGAGCTAAATCCCCAGCCCCTAGAAATGTAAAACTTAATCATTGGTCTTATATACAAATGTGGTATAGACACGTGTATTTTCTAGGCATTTTCTGCATTATTGCTTCGTACCTTTGATGAATAAATTAAAGATGGCCTTTCATTTTGTTAACTTTCATCTTCTGAAACATTATGGTTCAGTTTATTGAAGCAACTTTCATTGAATATTTATGGAACAACTATATTTTCTTACAAAAACATCCTTTGAAACATGAAGGAGCATTTTCTTTTCACATTTATAATTAAAGAAGATTTCTGAAACCCATTTATTTTAGGATTTGATAGCTTCTCTATTTAATGACTATTGAAAATTTTTACTTTGTTTCTAAATAACAACCAAAGCCAGGTGTGGTGACACAAGCCTGTAATCCTAGCACTCAGGAGGCTGAGGTAGGAGGATCCTTGCAAGTTTGAGACCAGCTTGGGCTACAAAGTGAACTAAAGGCCTGCATACCAAGACCCTGTCTCAAAAAGACAAATAAATAAATACATACAAACCAAGCATGAATCAGGCCATTTGAATTAATCAAATCTCTACTACTGTAGAATTGGACACCATTACTGCTAAACTTTTTTGGTAAATTAAAGACAATGATCTGAAGATAAAAGCTACCTTCTATATTATTTAAATCATTTAGGAATTTTAAGTTTCTGTATCATTTGTGAATTGGGTTATTGGGCTGTGTCATGTCCCTCTCATGTTTATCATTTATTATTCTCATGGAAGAATTACATGCAAAAACATTTGAAAGTATTGATGGTCATATTTTTGTACTTCCATTGTTAGACATGAATGAGGATTAATTCACAGCAAAGAGAAGCCATTTGACAATCAACTATTAGGGTCTTTCTAATCCTTCAGATCAAGATTTGAATAAATGAATGACAAAGCTTTATTTTTCCTATAAATGTCTTTAAGATCACATTAAAGCATTAAAATGCTTCAATTTCTAAAATACAAATCCTAGATAGAGAATTCTGGAATATCTATTCTATATAATTCTACATTAAGAATTCCAAAAAATCAGAGCCCCCCCCCCCAAATTTAAAGACTCAATCCAAAAATGGACATCTGAAATGAATATGCACTCCTCAGATGAAGTACAAACAGCAAATAAATATATGGAAAAAATGTTCAACATCACCGGTCACTCAAGAGATGCAAATAAAACAATGCTGAGATTCCATCTCACTCCAGAAAGAGTGGCTGTCATCAAGAAATCAACCAATAACAAATTCTGACAAGGCTGTGGGGGAAAGGAACCCTTCTTCACTATTGGTGGGAGTGTAAATTGGTGCAGCCAATATGGAAATGGGTATAGAGGTTTCTCAAAAAAGTGAAACGAGAGGTTCCATTTGACCCAGCTATTCCCCTCTTAGTATCTTCCCAAAAGAGTTAAAAACATCATATACCACAGCAATGTATGCACGCCCTTGTTTATAACAGCACAATTTGTCATAGCTAAGTCTCAGCAACAGCCCAGGTGCCTATCAGCAGATGAATGGATAAAGAAATGTGGTTTTTATGTACAATGCAGTACTACTCTGCCAGAAAGGAGGATAAATTTGAGGCATTTTTAGGTATATGGATGCACCTTGAGATTTTACTTTTAAGTGAAATAAGTCGGAAACACAAGTTTAAATATCACATTGTTCCTCTTACGTGAGAAACCCAAAGGATAAACAAGGAGCAAAATGGAGGACATATATAGGGAAGTAGGAAGAACGTGTTCCAGTGGGAAAGGGAACAATGGAGGGGACAGGGGGAGGGAAAAGGGATTCATAAAAGAGAATGGAAAGAAAAAATGAAAAAGCTTCTGTAAACAAACAGGGGAAGAAGGGTTGAAGGGAGGGGAGGGAAATGGGAAAAAAGGAAGAGTTAAGATAAATTTTGTGCAGGTACAGATTCCCTATGATGAATGTGATCATTATGTACAGCAAATATGTACTAATAAAAAGCTGATAAACAAAATGCGACAGGCAATAAGTATAAAGAGCATTAAACATAAATGTTTATGTTGTATATATTCTCTGATGTATCAGTTTATATCCTAAGCAATAATAATACATGTGCAAAAATAAATAGTAGCTAAACCAGAAAAAGTTGGGAAGGTGGGTAACAGGTGGGTTTGTGAAAGCAGGCAAAAGAGCTGCCTGTGATGAAAGGTGTTACTGACCACTCTTCTTTTATTCACTAGATCAGTTAAAATTGCCTATTTAGGAATTTTTAAAAACTATCATTTAAAATATTACATTCAATAACCTTTTTTTTTTTTAATCGAGTCCTAAACCTAGTTATGAATGTCACTAAGCTTTTCAGAGTTACACCTTTACTTATGCCAGGCCTACCTAGAACTTCATGAAGAGCATTCCTGGCGTTAGAAAAGAAAGTTTCTATAATCACATAGCTACTGACAGGGACAGATACTGAAAAGTAGGAGGAAAATATTCAAATGGGAAGGGGAGCAAGGGAAGGCGGAAGCGAGAGGCAAGGAAGAGGGAAGAAAGAGAAGCGGTGTGCACATGTACCAACTCCCCATGCTAAGTGGTAATCGTTACGTACTGCATGCATGTACTAATAAAAAAGTTAATTAAATAAAAATAAAGTGTAGGTGAGGAATTTCTATATAGAGAATTTAAACATGCTTTTAATAAGTCTATGAATTACGGAAACGTCTGAAGCATACAGAAATATTGACACTAGCCTAGTCAGCCCCCACAAACTCTTCGTCCAATTTCAACATTATCAGCCATTGACCAATTTTGTTTTACCAATTTCACCCACTGCTTATTATTTAGAAGCAAATTCCCATTATCATTCATTCGTAAATACTTTAGAAAAGTATGGGGGTTTTTAGTCTTAATATCATCTACAGTAGAAATTCAGTTCACTGTAGTTTACATTTATCTTGGGCCTGTTATGTATAAGGTGGGCATTACGCTGTAGGGATTCGCAAAACAGGAAAGTGATTAGTACTGCCCTAAATGAATTTACAACAATATAATGATAATGGGGGGAAAATAAGACAAATACTCACTTAATCTTCCTTGAGAACAACAAATGTATCAAAAGGTTGGTTTTTTAAATGCCTCATAAAATGGGTACTCTATAACAGTGTTAACCAATATGAATTACAGAGAAAAATTCTAATCCATTAATGCCACTGAAATCCAAAATTAAGAAATGTATTATCATATTTTTAAATATTTAAATTTTATTCTTTAATTTAGCTAATGCTTTTCCTGTGTATGCACTTAGTCAAGGAATGAGTTTGTGTATTGCCACAGTGACCTCTTGTGGAAAAAACATTTATCTCACACATTTTATTCAATCATTGTACGTACAGGTTTCAGACCGAAATTCAAACAGTGAATAAACAATTTCCATGTGAGCCATTCAAGTTTTTGGAGCCAACTTTAAGACTCGAATATTGTGAAGCATTGGCCATGCTTAGAGAAGCTGGAGTTGAAATGGGAGATGAAGAAGATCTGAGGTTTGTCTCTATGATTTTTTTAAACTTTAGTAATTGGGCTTAAGATAATGGATATATTAATACAATTTTTAGTAACATAAATATTAGTAACTTTGGCGTATGGTATGGTGCTGTTTTATGTCAGATATGATCTGACATAAAAATGTAGCTTGTTTAAACATTCATAATTTCATTTGTAAACACTATTTTTCCATTTTTTCCTTCCTACTTAAGGTCCTTAAAGAGCATAGGGAATTTTGCCTGTGGTTTTTATCTCATATGTTACTTCTCTTTTTAAATCAGTGATTTAGAAAGGATAGAAAATAGTCTAAATCTGTCTCCACTTAAGATTAGGGCATAAAAATGATTTTATATATAATACAATGTTATCTTAAATCCATATCATAGAATTTAGAATTTCGATACAAATTATGTAGCCTAATAAAAGTTAAAAATTATCAGTTGCATAATTCATCAAACAATAAACATGCATATGGGAGGGAAAGGAAATAATTACTGTTACTTTTAAGGGGTTCCTTTGGTTTTTGTTGTTTTTGTTTTGTTTGCAGCACTGGTGAATTAAACCTACGGCCTTTGCACTGCGCTAAAGCCCCATCCTTTTTTTTTTTTTAATTTCAACAGTGTCCTGCTGAACTCCTCAGGCTGGGCTCTGATTTGTGATCCATCTGCCTCAGTCTTCCATAGTGCTGGATTACAGCCATGTGCCAGCACAACCAGCTCATTTTTTAGAGGATAGCTATATCTGTATATCAAAACCCATTATTGGGGCTGGGGATTTAGCTCAGCGGCACAGCACCTGCCTGGCAAGCCTGAGGTCATGAGTTCGATTCCCAGTACCAGAAAAAAAAACAAAAAAAAACCCATTATTTATTTGTTTCTTAAGCAAAAAAAAAGTGATTTTGAGCATCCCCTGCATTTCTAGATCACATTTTTAAGGCAAACCATATTCCTTTCATAATTACTTTAAGTTGGGCAATATTTTCTTAAGTGTTTTGGAAAACCTTCACGTATAAGGTAGAGGTTAAAAAAATTTAATATAACCATATAAATACTAATACATTTTAAAGACTTAGAAATACTGATTGTTATTTTATAAACTTTTAATAAAGAGTGGGGGCGTTTAATGGCAAGACTAGCCAATGTTGGTCTAATGAACTTTTATTGAAGGTAATCGTAGGAAATTATTTCATCCATGATACTTCTGAATAATGAATTGCTGAATTCTATTTGGTTTTAATTAAATATTGGAGCAGTTCCTCTAAGTGCTAAGTCACTGTAGCATGTTAATTCATAAGTGATTTTCTTGACTACTTGTCGTTTGTTTTTTTTCCCCAGTACTGGCATTAAACCCAGGACCTTCACAATGAACTATATCCCCTGCCTTTTTCATATTGTATTTTGAGAGTCTTGCCAAATTCCCAGGATGGGCAGTTGACCCTCCTGCTTCATCCTCAAAGAGTGCTGGGGTCACAGGCATATACCACATGCATAGCTAGTTCTTGCCTTTGGAAAAAGGAGCAGAAGTGACAATTGCCATGTGTCTTCTGGCTTTTTTTTTTTTTTTTTTTTTAAGATAGGGTCTCACTGTAGTCCAGACTAGCCTCAAACTCTGAATCCTCCTGCCTTGGTCACCTGAGTGTTGGAAGTATAGGCGTGTATGACTCCAGTTAGGGTCAGTTTTTTTTAATCTTTTTAGAACTTCAAATAGTAAAGATAGCAAGGCATAGATAGTGGTGCATGCCTGTAATCTCAGCATCCTGGAGGCTGAGGCAGGAGGATTACCATGAGTTTAAGGCCAGCATGGGCTACCCAGCAAGACCTTGTCTCAAAACAAAACAAACAAAAAAAGAATAGTAGGGATGTTTTATTAACTTTTAACGCTTTGGTTGTTGCATTGTCTTCAAACACTTGATTTCCTGTCTCTTTTTCAGTACACCAAATGAGAAGCTGTTGGGTCGTTTGGTAAAGGAAAAGGTAGGACTATCTATATGTGCTAGATTTCTGTCTCTGCATCCGCAGTGTGTGCTGGTAGAGGAGAGGAACTACAGGAGACTCTAGAAATCCTTCAGAATAAGTAAAAAGGAGATTTTTTTAACTTTCAGAAAATAGAAAAAATATTTAGACAAGCTCTGCCCAGTTTGATTGGCTCAGTGTTTTATATGTATACTAAGTTACACTACAGTGTCTTATAAAAGTGATACCTATTTCAGATTGTCCGGTTAGGTAAAAAAACCTGAGATTATTATTTTTTTTTTTAAGTTCTTATTTTTGTTACTTGAATGTTTTGCAATTTCATTTTATTTATTTATTTATTTATTTTTCCGGTACCGGGAATTGAACTCACGACGTTGCGCTTGGCAGGCAGGCGCTATGCCGCTGAGCTAAATCCCCAGCCCCCTGAGAATATTTATAATTATTTTTACAATGTCCTCCCTGAATACCCCTGCTGTCTCATGTGACTTGAAAATGAATGCTCTTAGCCCTGCATGGTGGCGCATGCCTATAATCCCAGCACTTGGGAGGCAGAGGCAGGAGGATCACTGAGAGTTTGAGACCAGCCTGGGCTAGAAAGTGAGCTCAAGGCCAGCCTGAACTGGGCTCAAAAAGACCAAAAAAAAAAAAAAGGAATGCTCTTTCTTTCTACTGTTTTACTAAACCTAAAATACCAAAGAGGATAAACTTGGTATGGGCTTTTTTAAAAATTTAAGCCGATGTTATGAAATGAAAAGGTTCTTGAGCGCCTCCTATTGCTTGCGCTTGAAATGGTTAAATTCACTAGAAAATGTATTTCCAAAACCACGTCTTGAAGGTACACCTTGAAAATGCTAGGTCAGCAGAGTTATAATTTTAGTTTGCCAACTCCTTTGACATTCTCTCCAATATCTAGTTTTAGCAAAGATGTCTGAAGTTGAAATGTAGTTGATTTCTTTTTAATTAAATCTGGGTCACATAATGAGTATTCTAACAAAAATGTTGTAATTTCATGTTACTACTATTCCTTTCCTTTCTTTCTTTTTTTTCCCTTTCCTTTCTTTCAAACGTAATTTTTATTTGAAGAAAACTACTAAACTTTATAACATAAAAAATTTTTAATTTGGGAAATCCTGGGTTTTTTTGACGATTACTATTGTAAATGATATCAGTCTTTCTCAGAGTAATCTGTAGATTTAACATAGCTTCTATAAAACACAAAAGGTTTTTTGGATATTATTGACAAATAGTTTATATAATGCATCTGGAAGACTAGATGGCCTAGAATAATAAAGGAAAAAATGAAAATCAAAACTATTCATTGCAGCATAATTTATGGTAGAGAAGAAATTGGAAAGAGATTGCATGTCCAAAAATGTACAGAAATAAATGAATATTTGAGCTATGATTAAATAGTAAACAGCTTCCAAATATTAGACACTGGGAGAATTTAAAACATCATGACACAGTGCTGTAGGACATACATGTTACTTTAAAACAACAGGATACTCATTGTATATAGTATAATTATAGTAATTTTGGAGAACAAAGATTTACATAATTTTAAAGTTACCTTAAAAATTAGCCTTATTTTTTTAAAATGTTTTAATTGTATTTATTCTTTTATAGTATGATACAGATTTTTATATTCTTGATAAATATCCGCTGGCTGTAAGACCTTTCTATACTATGCCTGACCCAAGAAATCCTGTAAGTACATTGGTTTTAAATAATATATTTGGGAAAGAAGGAAAACTTTATTGTCATCATGTCAGATTGTATAGTGCAAGTAATGATCGTCATTAATAATTTACAATTTCAGTAGGCACATTGTTACATGTTTTACTGCTGGTGTCTGCTGCTGCAAGTGAAAATGATATTGTGAAATTTGAACATTTGACAAATTAGTCCTGAAAACCTATATTAAAGATCATTTCTCTGAATATTTATAAGGAAGAATGTATAAGGGATTTGCAAACTTTAGCAGATCATCTTAGTAACCTTGAAATGAAATTCACTTTGTATTTTAGGACTTAATAGTCTAAATAATGTCTTATGGGTTTTTTTTACTGTTTTGTTTCACAAAATCTGATATAAGCAAAAAAGAAATTATTCACGTCTCAGTAGTTGTACTTTAAAGAAACAGATTATGTTCTTCAAAGGTGGTTGTGCTAAGTGGGGTGCAGTGGCACACGCCAGGTTCCACCTAGTGAGACCCTCCTGTCTCAAAATAAAAAATAAATGTGGGGATGTAGCTCAGTGCACAGGCCCTGGGTTCAGTCTCCACTGTCACCAAAACAATAAATATATAAATAAATAAATAAAGGTTGATTGTTGAGAAACATAGACTTGCTCTCCAGGCAGCACAGATTTTTTGCACATACTTTAATAAGGGAAAAGGGTGATAACAATTGAAAAGTGGTGTTTTTGTTTTGTTTCTCCTGCAGAAACAGTCTAACTCTTATGATATGTTCATGAGAGGAGAAGAAATATTGTCAGGAGCTCAAAGAATCCATGATCCGCAGTTGCTGACAGAAAGAGCCTTACATCATGGCATTGGTACACAAATGCATATTTAGAGCGTATATTCTGAAAATAATACATTTGAAACATTGAATAGTAGTAGCTGTTGTGGGTCATTTTTGAAGCTCAAATAAGATGATAAAATACATGTTTTGTTTCTGTTCTTGTAGATTTGGAGAAAATTAAGGCTTATATTGATTCCTTCCGCTTTGGAGCCCCTCCTCATGCTGGTGGAGGCATTGGTAATATTCTGTTATTGCTTACAAATATGTTAACAAGTGCTAAGTGTAATGCAAAGTTGAATCATAAGAATTTTTAAAGAGAATTATGACTAAGTACAAATGCGATTTCCACAGTACAAAATGAACAGCTAGTTTGTACATTCTGAGATATTATTGTAGGACTAAGGGTAAAGCTCATTGTTAGAGCACTTGCTTAGGCGTATGCATGAAGCTCTGGGTTTGATCCCCAGCCCTACAAAAATACTTTGTGTGTGTGTGTGTGTGTGTGTGTGTGTGTGTGTGTGTGTGTGTGTGTGTGTGTTTCTGTTAAGGTTCTAGCCTCCTTTTTTAGCTCTTGAGAGTTTAGAAACCAAATTTGTAAAAGTTGAGTGTCCTATGTTCTCTCTCCACCCATTAGTACACTTACATTAACCCAAATTAAAGTTGTGCCTCAAAATTAGCTGTAATTTGTTTATTGAAGTGTAACGTTTCACTTCAATAGAAATCCTTGTAGGATTTCTTCTGCAGTATATGTAAATCATTCCCTCTGTGTTGTAAATAAGTGTTTAACTCGTCTTTGGAAGGTCCGTATCAGAGTCTTAAAAAGAATTCTGAATGTATGGCTTTGTTGAAGTTTTTATTTATTGTTGATAGGGGCACAGTAAATAGGTAGTAAATATGCTTACAAAAATGTCAAGTTAAAAAAGGGTATATAAGGACAGTCTTCAAGTGTTCTGAGAACACAGATACGCACATGTACAAGAATGAAATTGGGCCCTTACTAACAGGAGATACAAAACTTAACCCAAAATGTGTCAAAGTCCTAAGATAAGAGCTGAAACTGTAGAATTCTTAAAAGAAAGCTCTCAGGGCAGACTTGTCATTGCATTAGATTTGGCTCTGATTTCTTGGATCTTACATGAAAGGCACATATAAAACAATTAAAAAATAGGTAAATTGGACTTCTGAACATTTTACAATTTTAGGCATCAAAAGACAATTATAGCCGGGTATGGTGCCTGTAATGGCAGCACTTGGGAGGCTGAAGCAGGAGGAGCCCTGTGATTTCAAGGTCAGCCTAAGCTACAAAGTAAGTTCAAAGCCAGCCTGAACCCTGTCTCAGAAAAATAAAAAAAAAATGACAGTTATGCACAAGGTCCTGCATTTTAGTCCCAGCACCAAAACAAACAAGCTGGGTATAGCAAGACATATTTGTAATCCCAGCTATTTGGTAGATGGAGGCAAGAGGATGATGAATTTGAGGCTATCTTAGGAAACATCGTGATAGCTCATATCCACAAACAAAGCCTGTTACTGGGCTGGGCATGTAGCTCAAGCGGAGAGTGCTAGGTTTCTTCCCCAGCACTAAAAAAAAGGGAGAGGAAAAAGAGATAATTATCAATAAAGTAAAAAGGCAACCCACATAATAGAAGCAGATATTTGCAAGTCATATATCTGGTAGAGATGGCTGGCTTGAGTATAGAGAGCCACTAAAACCCCAACAACTCGGTTTAAAAATTTAAAAAACCCAAACAACTTGGTTTAACGTTGGCAAGGGACTTAACTAGACATTCTCCCATGGGTCAGTAAGCACACAGAAAAATGTTCAGCATCCTCAGGTACGAGGCAAATACAAATAAAAGCTTCAGTGACATACTCCTTCTCACCCATTAGGATAGCCACCGGTTCGTTTGTTTTAAAATGAAGACCAAGTGTTGCCAGTAATGAAGAGATAATAGGCCCCTTATATATTTTTGGTAGAAATGTGGATTGGCAGAGTCTGTGTGGAAAACAGAATGGCGGTTCCTCAAAAAATTATAAATAGAATTACCATATGATCCACAATTTCCTTCTGCAAATACACCCAAAAGAACTGAAAATGGAGTCTCAAAAAATGCTTACACACTGTGTTCATAGCAGCGTCATTCACATTAGCTAGAACAGGAAAGCAACCCAGACGACCGTCAGTAGGTGAATGGACAAGCAAAAGGTGACGCAGGTTGAGTATGCCTTATCCGAAATGCTTGAGCCAGAGATGGTTCAGATTTTGAAGCTTTGGGGGGTTTGGAATATTTGCATAGACTGTGCCACTTGAGTGTCCCTAATCCAAAAATCACAAATCAGAAATAGTTCAAAATCAAAATATTTTGAGTGCTGCATAATGTTTTAAAAGTTTCAGCTGGGTCAGGGATATAGCTCAGTGGCACAAGCGCCTGCCTGGCAAGCACAAGGTCCTGAGTTCAATTCCCGGTACAAAAAAAAAAAAAGTTTCAGCTTTGCAACATTTTAGATTTTCAGGGTATAGATGATCAAATTGTATATACCCATAGTGAAATATTACTCAGCCTTAAAAAGGAAGAAATTTGCTGCATACCGTGGTACATGGGAGACAGGGTTGCATCAGCAGTACAATTGAGCCCAGGCTGAGCTGCTTAGCAAGACTCCATCTCAAAATACAAAATAAAAAGGGCTGTGGATATAGCTTAGTGATAGAACACCCCTGGGTTCAGTCACTAATACTGAGAGGGAGAAAAAAAGAAAACTTTTACATGCAGTACAAGAATGAATCTTGAAGATGCTATTTCTTTAAAGAGAAAAGAAAGACAGTAACAAAGACAAAAACAATAAAAATGATACAGGATTTCCAAATAAGATGATAGGAATTAAAAATGGTTCTTTTTTACATATTGTTATCTGTAACGAAGTTGCTCAGATTACCAGATGGAAGGATGCAAGATTGATCAAGCAATTAAAGAGAATAAAAAGTAGTAAAAAAATTAGCAATGGTGCAGAGCTTCACTAAACAAGATGGTAGGAATTCAGCAATGGTTGTTACATTACATATTGTTATCTCCAAATTAGTAGATTACCAGATAGAAGCATGCAAAATTGGTCAAGAAAAAAAAAAATTAAGCATTAACTGTTCCTTCCAGTAAACCAATAAACATAAGCAGTACAATTATCCCAGCTATCCTTGTATAAACATATATCTTTTTCCTCTTCCTTCTTTCCTTTCTCCTTTCCCTCATCCAGGTTGTTCCTTCCTTTTGAGCAGTTTCTTTCCCTTTCACAATATCTATTGTACCTTTCAAGTTTTATTTACTCTTTCATGTTCTTACACTAGGGAGACAATACAATGTTTACACATGCGGTCTGATTTATTTCACTTACGAGTATGGTCTCTAGTTGCATGCATTTACCTATAAAAGCCTTGAGTTGATCTTTTTTTATAGCTGAGTAATACTCCATTGTATAAAACTAGCACATCTTGTTTTAGCCATTCCTCAGTTAATGGGCATTTGGGTTGTTTCCAAGGTTTAGCTGTGACAAACTGCACTGCTATAAGTGTGGGTGCACATATATTGCTGTGGTAAAATGTTTTCAGTTTTTTTGGAAAAGTACCCAGATGAAGAATAGCTGAGTTAAGTGGGATCTCTAATCCTAGTTTTATGAGGAATCACCACACTGATTTCCGCAGTGGTTTCACCAGTCCACACTCCCACCAGCAATGGAGAAGTGTTCCATTCTTCCCACAGCCTCTCCAGCATTTGTTATTGGTTGATTTCTTGATGATAGCCATTCTTTCTGGGCTGAGATGGAATCTCAGTGTTGTTTAATTTGCATTTCTCAAATAATCAGTGATGTTGAACATTTTTTTGTATATTTATTTACCATTTGTATTTCTTCATCTGAGATGTGTGTATTCATCTCAGATGCCCATTTTTGGATTGGGCCTTTCAATTGGGGGGGGGGGCCTGGTTTTTTTTAATTCTTTATATATTCTGGATAGAAGTCCTTTGTCTGAGAGACAGTCAGCTAAAATTTTTTCCCAATTCATGAGGTTTTTTTTTTTACCCTGTTGGTGATTTCTTTTGATGTGCAAAAACTTCTCAATATGTTGAGGTCCCAGTTGTTGATTCTTTGAAGTATTTCCTGTGCAGTTTGGTTTTTGTTCATGAACTCTATGTCTTCAAGATTTCTTCCTTCTTTCTCTTCCAGCAGATTTAGTGTTTCTATTTTAATATTTAGATCTTTGATCCATTTTGAATTTAGTTTAGTGCATGGTGATAGACATGGGTCTAGTTTTAGTCTGAACCTTTAAGACACTGTGCTAAGTGAATTAAGCCAGTTGCAAAAAGGAAAATATTGTCTGCTTGTACTTATATAAGGTATTTTGGAATAATCAGACTTACAGAAATAGAGATAGAATGGTGGTTGCCAGAGATTTGGGACAAGAGTAAATGGAGAGCTCATGTTTAATGGGCATAAAATTCCAGTTTTACAAAATAAAAAGCATTATGATCTACAAGAAACTGTTAGAACTAATAAATGAATTTAGTAAAGTTTCAGAATATAAAACCTACAAAAGTGGGTCTGTTTCTATGTGCTAACAACAAACTAGCCAAAAAAGAAATCAAAAAAGAATCCCATTTATTTTGTCATCTAAAAATTAAAATACTTCTGGATGTGGTGGCACACACCTGGATGATTGAGGCAAGAGGATCACAAGTTCAAGTCCAACCTGGGCGATTTAGCAGCTTAGCAAGATCCTATCTCAAAATAGCTCGGTGCAAGGTGCTTTGCTCAATCTCTAGTACTGAAAAATGAACGAATAAATGATAAAAATAGCCTGAGCATGGTGGTGCATGCCTGTAATCCCGGCACTCAGGAGGCTGAGGCAGGAGTATCGCAGTGAGTTTGAGGCCAGCCTGGGCTACAAAGTGAGTGCAAAGCCAGCCTGAACTGCATAGTGAAACCCTCTCTTAAAAAGACCAAAAAAAAGATAAAAGTACTTAAAAGTTTAACCAAATAAGAGAAAAATCTGTACATTGAGAAATATAAAATGTTGATTAAAGGAGATACAAACAGAAAGATCCAAAACCCACGTTCATAGAGTGCAAGAATTAGTATGTTTTAAGTGTTTATACTGCCCAAAGCAGTCCACAAATGCAGTGTAATCCCCATAAAAATTGCAAGGAAATTTTTCACAGAAATAGAAAAAACTTTTTCTAAAATTTTAGTAGAAACAAAGACAATGAATAGCCTAAGGAATCTTGAGCCAAAATAACAAAGATGGAGGCATCATGCTATCTGATTTTGAAATATACTGTAAAGCTATAGTAATGAAAATAACATGGCAGAACTGATCGCGTCACATTATATGCATGTATGAAATGCCAAGATGAAAACTACTGTTGTCTATAACTAAGGCACTAACTTTTAAAGCTATGACATTGATATAAAAATAGACCTATAAGTTTGATGCAGTGGCACACACCTGTCATTCCAGCTACTCAGGAGACAGGAGGATCACAAGTTGAAAGCCAGCCTACAAAATTTAGCAAGTGTCTTAAAAAATAAAAAGGGATAGGGATATAGCTCAGTGGTGTGATAAAGCACTTATCTGCATGAGCAAGGCCCTGGATTCACTCCAATAGAACAGACTAGAGAGCCCAAAATGAATCTTACTTTATTTACATTCATTGGGAAAAGACAATCTCTTCAGTAAATGGTGTTAGTAAAACTGGAGGACCAGGGGATACAGCTCCATGGCATAAATGCCTATCTGGCAAGCACGAGGTCCTGAGTTCGATTCTCAGTACCAAAAAAAAAAGTAAAACTGGAAATCTAAGCACAGAAGAATGAAATTAAACCCTTACTTCATACACAAAAAACAACTCAAAGTGAACCAAAAGCATGCATTAGATCTGAAACTATAAAACTGCTAGAAGAAAACAGCAGAAAAAAGCTTCTTCACATCTCTCTGGGCAAATATATATATATTCTCTCCAAAAGCCAAGGCAACAGAAGCAAAAATACTCAACTGAAGCAGAATCAAACTAAAAAGCTTCTGTTAGCAACAAAGTTGGAAAAATATATAAAATAGCAAACCAAGACCAGTAAAGATGGTAGATTTTCCCAGGTGTGGTGGTCCCTTTCTGTAACCTCAGCATTCAGGAGGCTGAAGTAGGATCTTGAATTTGAGGCCAGCCTAGCTTAGACCTGTCCCTCCCACCTACCCTGACAAAAAAGGATAATTTTTTTAAAAAGTTAGATGGAAGGTGGTAATGGTTTCACACCATTAAGTATATTAATGCCACTGAACTGTACACTTACAAATTATTAAGATGGTATATTTTATGTTATGTGCATTTTAACAAAATTTTAAAAAAAAATTGAAAAAAAGCATGGTACAAATTAACCCCCACTACTAGGGAGGCTAAGGGAGGAGGATTGCAAGTTTGAGGCTAGCCTAGGTATAGGTAGTAGTGAGATCTCATCTCAAAATTTAAAAAGAAAAAAGACACTAAACAGTGTGCATTTACCTTGCCACAGGAAACCCTTGTTTCTGGTTTTTAGCTTACCTTTGCAAATACTGTGCTTACATATACATAAGACAATTTCCAGAAAATATTTTTAACATAAATATGTAGCATGTGATATAAACCATTTGATAACCTTGTTTTTCTAAAACGTATTTTGTAACTTTTTCTGTATCAAAGATATCTTTTTAAATCTATATAGAATTCATTGAAAGGATACAGTAGTCTTGTTAATCAGCTTCATATCTGTGGGTTTGCAGGCTGTTACCAACCTTTACTTATAACAACACTGCTATATTAATATATAGTTTAGCTGGAGATAGAGCTCAATTTCCTGTACCAAAACAAAAAAAAAAAAAAAAAAAAAAAAAAAAAAAACTTACATTTTTTAAAAAAAATTTTAATGGGAAGTTTAGGGCTGCTTTCTCTCAGAGTACTCAATAATTCACATATTTTTTTATTTTGAGACTGAGTCTCAGTCACCAGGTTGTCCAGGCTGAGCTTGGACATGGAATCTTCCTGCTTTAGCCTCCCAGAGTGCTAGGATTATAAGCGTTCACCCAACACCTGGCCAAGAGAACATTTCTAGTGATGTTTTTTTAATAAAAGACATCTGTGGATGAAAATTTGAGCCACACATGGTGGCTATGGATAAACTTCCTTGAACAAGTTTATGACTCTCATAGTCATTGTCTGAACTGAATATTGTGAAATTTGCATCATTTGAGACTTGCAGGCTTATAAAGTGATTTGCTTGATTTTGTTTTTTTAATTGCTTACATCATAGATTCTGTTCAAGCACCTTCAAGCACCGGGCATGGTGGCACACGCCTATAATCCCAGCCCTCAAGGGACTGAGGCACAAGGATAGTTGCAAGTTCAAGACCAGCCTGGGCTACAAAGTGAGCTCAAGGCCTGCCTGAACTGCATAGTGAGACCCTGTCTCAAAAAGACAGAGAAATAAAAAACCAGATTCTGTTCATTTCTGGATGTTGCTGTTGCAGTTCGCATTTTAGACCTCAAGCCACTTACAGATTTCAGATAGTCCTCCCACTCGAGCAACATCTCTTAGACAAATACAGGAGGAGTGTTTTATTGAACAATAGTATATTAGAAGTTCAAGACACTGAGAGCGTTTCAGAAAGGGACTTAATGACCATTTTTGTGTTTCCAGGGTTGGAACGAGTGACTATGCTGTTCCTGGGGTTGCATAACGTGCGTCAGACCTCCATGTTCCCTCGGGACCCCAAGCGACTTACGCCTTAAAGCTGCGCTGTGTACTTCCAGCAAGCTACTGACCAGGCTGTTCTCCTTAGGTACTGAAGATGCACAACAGAGTAAATACCTTATCTAAAGTGCCACTATTATTTTTGAATTTAGTCAGTGTAGGTCAACTTACAACAGATTTTTATAACTTCAAGGATGCTTCGGTAGGAAATACTTGACCATTTTAATGAGACGTTCATATGGTTATGTTAAAAATTTATATTACATTACTACACTAAATGTTAACAGGAGTTTTAAAGTTAAGATTATGCAATTTTTTTCTACATTATGGTTTCCTCAGTATTGACATCTTATATTTTCAATATTCAAACTGACTTTTTAAACTTTTAGCATTGAGATAAGAACAGTTGGAGAAGTATCCAAGATTTTAACAAATTTATAATTGGCAACTCATGGAAATTAGAGAGTATCAGTTCTTAAAACTTACACCCAGGAATCATGTAAAGCGAATGAAAGTACTGACTAGAAAATATTCAAAATAATATTGTATTAAATTGTTAAATTCTGATCCTGAATTTCAATAAAATTTTAAAACTAATGTAGTTTGTCTTTGTGTAACCTTGCAGCAGTCTGAGGTTGTGTTGTTTGGTTTCGTTTGTGGCCCTGGGGTACGAACCCAGAGCCATCACACTAGCTACATCTCTAGACCTTTTTAAAAATTTCTCCTGCCCAACAGCAGAGTGCTGGGATTACAGGCATGGCCCACTATGCCCAGCTCCAGTCTGATTTTATAACTGCTTTGAGGCATTTATACCTTGGGAAAGGAAAAACTGCATGGCTGTTTTATGTAAGTGCCTAAAAGCACATGCCAGGCATGGTAGCACACCCCTGTAATCCCAGCACTTGGGAGGCTGAGGCAGGAGGATCACTTTGAGTTCAAAGCCAGCCTGGGCTACATATGCAAGTTCAAGATAGCCTGCAACACATAGGAAGACCCTGTCTCAGAAAATAAAAATGATAAATATTTAATGTGTATTCATATCAAAATACAAGTTCAAATGGATGTGAAAAGAGGTTTTAAAGCTTGAGTTGGTTAAGAGTTCATTTCACATGGAATATTGCAGGATTTCCTTGTTTTGTTCTTAATTGGTACCAGTACTTAGTAAATGTCACTGAAATACACTCCTGTCTTCCCCACCAAAAGATATTTCTATGTAAGAATTAACAGTTACAAATATCTTCCTTCTATGTTACATGTATAGATGCTAATGATAATTTCACAGTGAAAAGTAACTCCACAGTGTAATGCAGATATTTCCATAAAAAGAAAAAATAGGAAGAATAGGAGGGCGATAAAAGGAAGCCACCCCTGGACCATAAACACCTGCCTAACATTTTCAGAATTAAAAGGAACATTGATTATTTTACCATCTAGATTATGAGGTCTTCAAAAGTAGAAACTCAGTGTTTCTGTCTTTCATATCATACTAGAGTGTCTTGCGTAGGCACCCAGAAGTGTTCTGTGGATTTAATTCAAACCAAAAATAAACTGAATTGCTGAATCAGTCAACTTTCCACTGCTGTGCAGCCACGCACCCGACACAAGTTCGTGGAGGAAGGGTTTATTTCTGCTCGTGGATTCAGGGATTTAGTCCACAGCTGGCTGGCTCTGAGGCAGAAACATCGCGGTGTCAGGGCATGATGGAACGAGGTACTTGTTTCGTGGCAGCCAGGAAGCAGAGCAGGGGAACAGTGCTGGAGAGAGAAACCCTTCAAAAGCATGCCCAGTGACCCACCTCTGACTGGACCCCGCCTGGGTACATTTCAGCTCAGCATCGGTGGATTGGTCTCAGTCTAGTCAAGTTGGCAATTAGAGCTGATCATCAAAACTGCAACCAGCTGGGTATGGTGGCAAGTGCCTGTAACCCCAGCACTCAGGAAGCTGAGTTGGGGGGATCTCTGTGAGTTTGAGGCCATCCTAGGCTACATAATTCAAGGTCGGCCTGAACTATATAGTGAGACCCTGTCTCAAAAAACTCAAAAAGCTGCTGCCCATCTTTTTTACACTGTGATTCCTAGGCCCTAAAATAGTATAATAATGGCCCTAGAGCTGTTCTCAATTTCACATAATTGTAAATTCTTTCAAAATAAAATAAAATCTTGAACAATAGTCTTACTTGATTATTTTGATGGTGAAGCATTTTAAACATGCCAGCTGCATTGCAGCATGAGAGGATGGACAGCCCTCCACACCACCCAGCTTTATCAACTCATGTTTCAAATATTTCTAAGGAGGAAAAGAAATTATGGATACCGTTACAGCTTTCTATGCACTCTCCTACCCTACTATATGAATTTAATGCTTTTTTGTTTTGTTTTTCCTGTACAGGAGATTGAACCCAGGGCATTTATACTAGGTTATATCCCTAGCTCTTTAAAAAAAAAAATGAGATGGTGGTTTCACTAAGTTGCCTAGGGTGGGCTCGAACTTGTTATCCCAGAGTGCTGGGATAACAGGTATTCATTACCATACCTGGCTTCTGTCTGATTCTTTTTTTTTTTTTTTTGAGGCAGGGTCTTGCTATACAGTTCAGGTTGGCCTTGAGCTCACTGTGTAGCCCAAGCTGGCCTCGAATTTGCAACAATCCTCCTGCCTCAGCCTCCTGAGTGCTGGGGTTACAGGCGTGCATCAACACGTCCGGCTTCTATCTGATTCTTAATATTTGCTTATTGCATTAGTTAGATTCTTCAGTCAAGTGTTGAATGAAAGCAGTGGTGAGGAATGCTTGTCTTGGTTTATTTAATTTTAAATATTTCTAAAGTGTCAAGATTAAAGTGTGGCAGGTTCTATAGGTTTTCAATAATAGATGCACTTTACCAGGATAATGGAGATTTTATTTGTTAAAGATTTCCATTAAAAATGACTAGAGTTTATCAGCTACTTTTTCTGTATTAGCTCTGATTCTTTTTTAACTCTGAGAATAGCAGGCCACGATAATAGAAATTCTTAATACGTTTTCTGGAATAAATACTGTTTTTAATCACTCACTTCAATTTACCATTATTTTTGTTTTTAAAAATACTTAGGACTAGGATGTAGCTCAGTGGTAGATCCTTTGCCCAGAGCCCTGGGTTTACTTCCCAACACTGAAGAAAAGAATATTTAGCTTTATTTGGGTATATACAATAATATTCACTGACATGAACTGTGCAATTTGATCAGTTTTGCAGTCAACCTATCATAATCAAGCTAAATCATTTCCATTACCCACAAATGTTACTTTGTGCATGTTTATAGTCAGTAAACAAAGCCGCCAACCAAAGGTTGGGTTTTTGCCTGTAAAAATGGAGCAGTTTTGTGTCTGACTTAAGCATAACTTCTGAGATTCATCCAAGTTGGTACATGTCTTAACAGAGTGGGATTTTGTATTGATGAATAATATTTCTCAGGATGGGTATGCCAAAATTTGTTCATCTATTTACCACATGATGGATATCTGAGTAAGCTTCCAGGCTTTGATCTATAATGAATAATGCTGCTATGACTATTTGTAGTCTTTCTATAGATGTATTTTCATTTCTTAGGGCAGATACCTAGGTGTTATGGTTTGGACCTTAGATGTCCCCAAAAGTCCATGTGTTGAAGGCTATATTCCCTATGTAGCAATATTTAGAAGTGAGACCTTCAGGAGGTGTTTGGATCGTGAGAACAGTGACCTCATCAGTGAGTTCATTATTTATGGATTCATAGTTTAATGGATTTGAGGAGAGAAGGTTTTGTTATAAAATCAACCTCTCTGCTTCCTAGACAACATGAGGTGAGTAGCCGTGCTCCCCCGTGTGCTCCCCACCCTGGTGCTCCACCTTACCACAGACCTTTAATAACAGTGGAGGCAGTTTACTCTGGACTCAGTTGAGCCAGGTAGATACTACCTCCTTTAGGTTGATTTCCCAAGGTAACAGCAATGGAAAATTGACTGATACCCTAGGGGTGAAATTGATGGGTCATAAGATACCTGTACTCTCTTGGACCCTTTACGCTGCTGTAGTAAAACGCTATAGGCTAGGTAGTGTTAGTTTGTTTTTGAGGCAGGGTCTCACTATGCAGTTCAGACTGGCCTTGAGCTCTTCTCTGGTCTCAAACTCAAATGATCCTCCTCCTAAGTCAGCCTCCCGAGTGTTGGGATTACAGGTGTGCGCCACCACACCCAGCTCAAGGTAGTTTATAAAGAACAAAAATTTAACTGGGTATGTATCTTAATGGTTGAGTGAATACTTGCCTAGCATGTGCAAGGGTCCAATCCCCAACACTACAAAAATAATAGAAAAGAAATGTATTTCTCACAGGTATCTCATGAATGGCCTGCTATTTCCTAAGATGGTTACATCCTCCAGACAGGACAAACTCAGCAGCTTCAGATGGAGAAGAGACAGGCAGAAAAGAGCAGTACAGCAGTTCCCGTCCTGTGCTTTTGTTTGCATGTGCATCTTTCCATCTGTTTACCTTCACTTCAGCTGTGTCTCTGTATTTAAAATGGCTTTCTTAGGGGCTGGGGATTTAGCTCAGCAGCAAAGCGCCTGCCTGGCAAGCGCAAGGTTGTGAGTTCGGTTCCCAGTACCAGAGAAAAAAACCAATAAAATGGCTTTCTTATAGACAGCATGTAAAAGGATCTTGTTTATTCCAGTAATCTCTACATTTTTAAAAAGTTTGGCCTCATCTCTTTATTTTGTTTAAAGCCTTTTTCTAACATTTTATAATTATTAGTTTTACTAGATATTTCTCTATATTTTTAATCTTCTCAACTAATGTCTTTACCTTTGATCCCACTGATCTGTTTTTTAGTTTAGTAATTTCCTCTATCAGTTTCTGCTGTGGCTTGAATGTATCCCTCAAATTCATGCATTGGAATCTTAATCCCCAAGTACATATGTCCATGGTATTTGGAGATGAGGTTTCTGGGAGATAATTGGGATTAGTTGAGATCGTAAGGGTGGTACCCCCAGGATGGTATTAGTGTCTGTCTAAAAAGAGGAAGAGAGACTCAAGCACACTTGCTCTGCCCTGCCAATAGATTCCTTGTACCACCTCAGGACTCAGCAGAAAGTTCCCACTAACCAAAGGCCCTTGTTAGATATGGCCCTTCATTTTTGAACCTGCAGAACTTTGAGCTGAATAAACCTTTATTCTTTATAAACTATCCAGTCTGTGGTATTCAGCTATAGTCACAAAAAACAGATACTTTCATTCTTTCTACTTTCTAAGGTTTTTTTCTGCTACTTTGTTTAGTTTTCTTTTTTATAATCAATAGTTAATTAAATATACTGACTTATTTTTATCAATTTTTTGCCCACATATTTGTATATTCCATCTAGTGTACTTTTCTTCCTGTAGTAACGCTTAAGATTTTCTTTAAGTTAGGGTCTATTGATTATAAACTCTAGATGAGGCATGTCCAACGTGGAGCTGGCAGGCCACTTGCCCCCTTTTCCAACAGTATAATAACGTACTGTATTTTAGAAGGAAATCTTGATGCTTATGCACATAAGCTGTATTATATATTTTTTGTGCAATTCAAGACCATTCCTTGTCACTCAGTG